CGATGACAAGTATTCGACAAACCAAAACAATAAGAACGATCGGCCGTCGGTCATTGTGGGAGATTTTTGTTACGGCTGGGAGACTTGCCATGGCTGTGCTATGTCAGACAACGGTGGCGCCAGCAGCGCCAGTCCGCACCACTACCCATGACCCTTATCCTAACTCGCATACTTGTCGTAATATAGACCTTGAGGGACTGCCTTCGCGAGAAAATAAGTTCATGAGGAAACAAAGCAGAGAGGGGGTACGCAGACCCTATTCCCTAACCCCAACCCAACGTCCCCGATTGCATGCCATATCCAACATGTTTACACAACACGAAATCCCTGCGAATAGTACCAACTGACCTGGAGAGTGGTGACTTGCAAGTCGTAGGACTTCTGGTACTTGGCCCGGATAGTCACGTTTCCGAGTGTGTGCGACCAACCCAGGCGGCGCTTGCTGTGAAAAGGGGTTGCCACCGGTGACGGCATGCGACGATTGGACAGAGAAACGCCGCATCCACACACAGGCGTGTTGCCGTAGCGGCGGATAGGATACGACCGAAAAGGTTGTCGAAACAGAACGGGCGGTGAATCAGGGATTGGGCGAGTGAAAAACGACAATGGTGAGCAACCCCCAAGGCGCTGCATCATCGTACTTTGCAAAGATGTTTCTAGACTATCGCAACTGTTGACAGTTGCTGAAAATCTCACTCTACATTTATCGCTGATCCGTCCAAAAATCCACACTCCCATTCAGCGTGGCTTCTTTGCAAGGCCTCTCGAGAGAGCTCGCAACATGCCCGAACGAAAATCGCACATAGGAAGCAATCAAGAGGTGCTGGAAAGTCGGCAACGATTTCAAGTTCATGGCCGCGACAGCATACAGGCTTCGCCAAAGCTGAAACTTCAAAACAACTACCCAACACAAGAACAAAACATTTTATTTTCAAAACTGAAACAAAAAAAAAGGGCACAGTAGGTAGTATTCGAGCTTTGCAGTTCATTCAGCACACGAAGCCTCGTCCACGATCTACATAAAATCAAAATGATTGTCGGCCAACAATATCAGCCAACAACAAGAGTTGAAGGTCCTTACTGCTTGTGGAAGTGACTCTTGTACTGTAACTTACGATGTGGTCTCACTGTAGTACTTCTTGAAGACCTCGGTGCACTTCTTCATCGTGGAAGGGAGAGTCACTTCCATGGGCTTGTACGCTGGCCAGTAGCCTGTCGTCAGCACCTGCAACACGACAGGGTATGTATGGTAGTAGTTGAGAGGGTGCAGCGGTAGATGTACGTTTCGTTTTGTTGTTGTTGTGATGGCCGTCGTCCTCGTTCTTGCCTTCCACTTGTCTGCGCAAAAAAGCACACACACACACACACACACACAACGCTTTGATTCGAAAGCACGTTCGTATTCGTTATCCCGCTCTACATTAACAACAACAACAACAACAACAACAACAACAGCAATAACAAGCGCTGATAAGACAGCAACTCTCGACCTGTCAGCCACGCTTGCCAGATGCAGCAAGTCACAGACACAGATTGTTGCCAAACCAATGGGTGGAGGACACGTCGGGCGGTGTCGTGACGGCTGGTACAGGAGAATCGGGGACGGCGGCGGTAGCTGAGACCGTTGAGACGGAGGGGACGGGTGAGGAGGAACGCTCGTTCGACCAGCGGCTTTTTCTCGTCCTCGAGGATCGTGCAATCTCTATATGCCCGAACCACGGGCTCAAATGCGCGTTTAGCGCGGGCTGTTTCACCTTCATTTGCGTCAGGACTTGAGTCTCGTCGCGACACCTCAAGGACCCGAGCTCGGACTTTGGCTCGGGTCCTTGAGGTGTCGCGGCGAGATGTGAAGAGCTCTGACTTCGGCAATGGTCCTTGAGGTGTCGCGACGAGACTCAAGTCCTGACGCAAATGAAGGTGAAACAGCCCGCGCTAAACGCGCATTTGAGCCCGTGGTTCGGGCATATAGAGATTGCACGATCCTCGAGGACGAGAAAAAGCCGCTGGTCGAACGAGCGTTCCTCCTCACCCGTCCCCTCCGTCTCAACGGTCTCAGCTACCGCCGCCGTCCCCGATTCTCCTGTACCAGCCGTCACGACACCGCCCGACGTGTCCTCCACCCATTGGTTTGGCAACAATCTGTGTCTGTGACTTGCTGCATCTGGCAAGCGTGGCTGACAGGTCGAGAGTTGCTGTCTTATCAGCGCTTGTTATTGCTGTTGTTGTTGTTGTTGTTGTTGTTGTTGTTAATGTAGAGCGGGATAACGAATACGAACGTGCTTTCGAATCAAAGCGTTGTGTGTGTGTGTGTGTGTGTGTGCTTTTTTGCGCAGACAAGTGGAAGGCAAGAACGAGGACGACGGCCATCACAACAACAACAAAACGAAACGTACATCTACCGCTGCACCCTCTCAACTACTACCATACATACCCTGTCGTGTTGCAGGTGCTGACGACAGGCTACTGGCCAGCGTACAAGCCCATGGAAGTGACTCTCCCTTCCACGATGAAGAAGTGCACCGAGGTCTTCAAGAAGTACTACAGTGAGACCACATCGTAAGTTACAGTACAAGAGTCACTTCCACAAGCAGTAAGGACCTTCAACTCTTGTTGTTGGCTGATATTGTTGGCCGACAATCATTTTGATTTTATGTAGATCGTGGACGAGGCTTCGTGTGCTGAATGAACTGCAAAGCTCGAATACTACCTACTGTGCCCTTTTTTTTTGTTTCAGTTTTGAAAATAAAATGTTTTGTTCTTGTGTTGGGTAGTTGTTTTGAAGTTTCAGCTTTGGCGAAGCCTGTATGCTGTCGCGGCCATGAACTTGAAATCGTTGCCGACTTTCCAGCACCTCTTGATTGCTTCCTATGTGCGATTTTCGTTCGGGCATGTTGCGAGCTCTCTCGAGAGGCCTTGCAAAGAAGCCACGCTGAATGGGAGTGTGGATTTTTGGACGGATCAGCGATAAATGTAGAGTGAGATTTTCAGCAACTGTCAACAGTTGCGATAGTCTAGAAACATCTTTGCAAAGTACGATGATGCAGCGCCTTGGGGGTTGCTCACCATTGTCGTTTTTCACTCGCCCAATCCCTGATTCACCGCCCGTTCTGTTTCGACAACCTTTTCGGTCGTATCCTATCCGCCGCTACGGCAACACGCCTGTGTGTGGATGCGGCGTTTCTCTGTCCAATCGTCGCATGCCGTCACCGGTGGCAACCCCTTTTCACAGCAAGCGCCGCCTGGGTTGGTCGCACACACTCGGAAACGTGACTATCCGGGCCAAGTACCAGAAGTCCTACGACTTGCAAGTCACCACTCTCCAGGTCAGTTGGTACTATTCGCAGGGATTTCGTGTTGTGTAAACATGTTGGATATGGCATGCAATCGGGGACGTTGGGTTGGGGTTAGGGAATAGGGTCTGCGTACCCCCTCTCTGCTTTGTTTCCTCATGAACTTATTTTCTCGCGAAGGCAGTCCCTCAAGGTCTATATTACGACAAGTATGCGAGTTAGGATAAGGGTCATGGGTAGTGGTGCGGACTGGCGCTGCTGGCGCCACCGTTGTCTGACATAGCACAGCCATGGCAAGTCTCCCAGCCGTAACAAAAATCTCCCACAATGACCGACGGCCGATCGTTCTTATTNTTCCTGATGGTGTTGAGCGAGGAGATCGCCACATTCGGTCGACCATTTTGTATTTTTTGCTTGGCTTTTTTTTTGTTTTGGTTGGTCGAATGCATGCCCCCCCCCCTCCCCTAATCCAGGCCTGTTGCCTGATGGCGTTCGGTATACAACTTTTTTTGTCTTTGATTAATTGTTTTGGGTTGATCGATCGAATGCGTGTGCATCGTCGTCCCCCCTTGTCCAGGCGTGTTGCCTGATGGTGTTCAGCGAGGAGACCAGCATGCTGGTCCTGGGAGAGGTGAGCCAGCGCCTTCACCTGCCCGACGACACCGTGAAGCGGATACTGCACAGCCTCAGCTGCGGCAAGTACAAGGTGCTCAAGAGAGAAGGGCAAGGCGGCAGCATCAAGGCAACAGACAAGGTGCGTGCCCGAGAGAGAGAGGGAGGCAGGCAAACTGTATGATACGACTTTCTTCCCCCAACCTTAGCCTTGCGTCTCACGGCATCCCCGTCGTTGACGCCGCCACTACCGTCACGCACGTTGATGTTCATGTCGCACATGCCCCCTCGCCCGTGATACGTCTTCCCTCTTCCTCGACGTCACACCGCCGCTGCCCCACGTTTTTTTTTTACGGAAATAAACACACAACGAAAGAAAATGCCGCCCATTCGAGATATAACCACAGTCGAAGGGAATGAGTTGAAGTCTTGTCAGTTATTGGGGGAAATG